TCAACACAAAGAAAGACAAAACTGACCAAATAAATAAGTATTTCCAGAACACAACTATGTTGAAACAAATGACCACAAATTTATATTTCATTTTCATGAAAACTGCACGAGTACAAAAATTTCTTGTGAATATGAAACCCCTCAAAAAAAACATTATCATGCTCTAAGATCATCATCTAATCTATAGCATTGGTAGATAATAAGTTATTTGAAACAACCTAAATCTTCTGGCAACCATAAATGTACTTGAAATTCATTGAGAATTTATGGAGAACATTGTCTGACTGACTGATAATAACTGTTGCATCTTGAATAGAGGGCCTCAGTCTTGTAATAATGTAAAAATCAAAACATGATTAACTCAATCATTTCCAGTTCATAATCACATTTAATAATAAGTCAGCCATAATGAGACAAATCACATTGATCAGTGGTTTAAAACACAACATGAGCAACAAATTTACAGAAATGAATCTCCAGATGGTAAAATTTAGCAAAGTTTTAATTCTGTAGTACCTTGAAATTGAAACCTTTCAACTGTACAGCAATCAAGGCTACATTCAAATTTTATCATTTGTTTTTAACATAGTAAACAGCGAGGGCCAGCTCAGGAAAGAGCCATTACAAGTGACTTCCAGTTATGAAAATATATGTAAAAGGTAATGGAAAGTAAAATAGAGTAGGAAACAGTGAACACATGGTAATCTCAGTTTGTTAATTTCAAAGTCATTGTGTGATCGTGTTACTCAATAAAACATAAATTTAGATTACACAAAGAGGCTTGACAACCAGCTCCAGTGCAACTCCTGTGATGTAATACTGTCCACTACCACCAAACATTATTGTTGACATAAATATGTTCTGGTTCAATTCAGTTAATATGGGACCTAACAGTTGATTACAGATGAGACTATTTTTTTCTTAGGTAAAACATGAACTCTCAGCTAAACAGCAACATACTCTGACGCAGCCGGCTAATGAAATGATTATTCCCACATGAAATGAGTTTGCCCTCAGTTGCGTGAGAGCAGCTACGCTGTCACAACGTAGAAACCTGTTTCGACATGTTAAGTAAATAATTCAGACCGCATGACAGCGATCGAGCAAAAGGTCAGTACTTCTTGTGGAAACTATTGTTAGAATTCACTTCACATAAGCTTAATTACTTACTTCACATGGTGTTTTTTTAACCCCTTTCCGAATCCTGTAGGAGGCAGCACTGACGTCTTCGAAGCTAACCAATATGGGTTCTTCAGATTCACCCGTGATCGGATTTAAGTTTTTCAATTTATTCACTCTTCCATCAGCACCACTCAATGGAGAGTGAGAAGAGCGTTCAAGTCGCTGTTTCTCGGTCATTGCACCTTTAACGCCCTATCGGCGTGCGTAAGTTTACATTAAGTTTGAAGATAAACATAGATTAGGGCGGGCACATACCGCCGCCTACCGCAAAGGGTAATGGGAGACGAGAAGATCTACCAGTTTCGTGGCTTCCCATCACCATTGGAATAAACAGTCAAGAGCGTCTCCAGATTTCTCAAAAATTACTTGAAATTGTTCAAATTTAAAAGCCTTTCTACAAATTGTAGCACTGGTGTACTTTAGACAAAGACAGGCTAGACAAAGAAAATTAATGCATGACTAGACACTCCAGTGGGTTAGGGTGGATCTAAACTCAGCTAAAGCAACACCACTAGAGACTGAGATGGCTGTCACTAAAGCAACATTTTTAATATTTGCCTCTTAAGCAAGTCATGACAGAAAGTTTGTTTAGGTCATAAGCCACTAAACTTTTGTTGTTGGCATCTAAATAAAGGGCGATAGACTTAACACTCAAACTAGACCTATGGTTACTCAAGATCTTCGCCATTTCCAAACTTTTCTTAAAATGTTGAAATATCCATATAGCTACAAAGTTTTTTTCACACTCTAAATTTACAGTGTATGTTTTAATTTCATAGGACCTCATAATTGTTTTAAAAAAGCTATTTGTCTGAATAAAAATGATTCATTATATACCAAACTAACAGATAGTATAGAAAGCATGCTCTGATTGGCTACTCATGTTCCAAATATCCTTTGCTATTTACCTCCCAGTATTGGCAAACAGGATTTGCGTCAAAAAGTAGTGTAACCATTGCAGGAATAAATGAGTTAAAATCATATGTTTGTGCTATATTAAGACCAGTGGTGGATATTTGCAATACACCTTGCCTCTTCACTGCTTAGTAAATATCCACCACTAGCCACCTCCACTTCAATGAATAGCTGTTGAATATCTCTTTATTCAGTATTATTTAAAATATTGATGTGATGGGGTGAGCTCTTAAATTACTTTTGTGTCTTACACTTGCATTGAAACGTTCTAATTGCTGTCCAACAATACTTTTTAATGATGGGGTTCACCATGAAAAATAAATAAATTAATTAATTAATGGGCCATATGGCCAGAGATGAATGTGGATTTCACTCCTGTTAGTTAACCTTAGAAAAAACCACCCTTGCATTCCATATATCTTTGGTCTGATCAGATAAAAAAAGTTACACTCATCACACTTATTGCTGATCAACCCATTTCAGAAATATGCCATTTTTGAACTGCAAAACAACTTACTCATTCATTATGCAAGACTTGAGTTCATTACTTTATCTATTCAGTGATTTGATCTCAACAGAATTTGAATATCACCATTCATTTCAAACAAATTAGAACATTCATTAAGCATATGGTGAAAATATTTCTTCTCTCTTCTAGTGATAAGAGGGCTGTTGATTGACATCCCAACAAATGACTATGAAGGAGATTACTATTATCTGAGCATTTGCCTCAGAATTTTATGGTTGCTAATATGTACATGTTACGACTGCATGTCAAGGTGCTTTCAAGTTCATATCTGTGTTTTACAATTATGCCCAATGAATTAAAGAAAGGGTTTCATGAACTGCCTTCACGAGTGCCTACTGTTAGTAGAGGAGATGGATTTGTAATTTAAGTTCTCTACAACAAAAATTGCACATAAAATCCACAGGCAGCAGTAATTAAAGCCTTATGAGTGGTGGTACAGTTCCAATAACTGAGTTCAACTGAAAACCCTGTTAAAAATTAAAAATTTATAACACAAATTGTCCCTGGTCTAAATCTGTAGTACCAGGCCACCAGCAGTAATATGGTCTCCGCCACCTCCTGTCTGCAATACTTGGGTACAAACTAACACTGGAGCAACACATATTTCATAATCATCTTCATCCCAACAAGAAACAGGCAAATTGGCATTGAATTCAACTTTTGGACTGCCTGGAACTATACTTTTAGAAAATGACTCATCCATAAACAATTTAGATTTGTCAGGATCAATTTCTTCTGAGCCACACACATGACGTGTTGCTGTCAAAGAGGCCTTTGCTGCAGCTGCCTTGGTGTGTTTCCAGTTTGATCCTTTCCTGGTTAGAATTGCTTGAAATGCCAATGTGTGGACATGAAGTCTTGTCAGTGGTCTCTTCCTTCTTTTTCCATAATCCTTTTTTGAGGTCTTGTACACATCTCTCATGAGATCCAGTACTTTTGCAACCCTTGGTTTCTGACTTGAAACAACTGTTATGTTTCCATAGAGCAGCTTGCTCCACAAGTTAGGCAGTTCCTGTTCATTCATACCCATACTTCTTGAATAAGGAACAACATACTGCAAAAGTTCATCAAAGAACGTTTCTTGATGGAATGGGGCCATCTCAAAGTGAATTGGAACTTTCAATGTGTCAAGAAAAGACGATAGTTTTTTCAATATTTCACCACTGTCCCCAGGGTTAAAGCCAGGAAAATTATCTAACATATGGAGTCCTGATACAACCATAACTGCCGGTGAAAAGTCTTTTACTTTCTCCTGAAATTTTTCCATTGACTTCAGATATGGATTGTGTTCATCGCTGTGTAAAACTAGTCTGTTGGCTCTTTGGGACTCATACTTTCCCCAAGGAAAATGTGCAGGATATTCCAACAACAAGTGGACATCATCAACCTCTACAATGTTCCCCACTGCTGTTAAATTCTCTGGCAATATCTCCAGTAATTCTGAACTTGAATCAGCAGCTGAAAGAACATGACATCCTTCAAAGGCAAGGCGTTTACCAATTTGTAATCCACTGCCACCAATTAGTTTACGAGTTCCTTCAATTTCCTGGGATTTGAGGACTAACTTCCGAAAAAGATCTTTGTCGGTCATGTAACGGCTAAAAAAAAAAAAAAAAGGCATTGTACATTGTTTCTCAAATGCAGACCTTTTCTAAAGAACATTAATTAATGTTCAAATAATAATATGAACATAGAGGGTCGATAGTGGATTTTCATATTCCAATATTTTGAGTGAGTTCCGTTCTTCCCATTAAACAAAATTTTTGAAAAATACCACCTCAAAACAAACATCTCGATAACCTATGTATCTCTGTCACTCCGTAAAATGTTAAAAAAAATTGTTTCAGTTTGATTGTAGGGTTGATCAAAACTCACTGAAAAAATCTACTGCCCTTAGAGTTTGAAACAAGGTTGTAAGTTCTAGACAAACTGACCAGTCTAAGCACTTAAAGTGTCACACATCAAGATCTTCATAGCTAGGTCCAAACTATTTAACATTGAGTGTATCATAGACTTAAGACTTAGATTCAGCATTACTTACAAGGTAATATTACTTAATATACCCTGATTAGAGGATATTGACCCTCTGATTATCACAGATTATCCCAACTTAGAAAAACGAAGCAACAAGGTGAATTTTCACTCCTTCAAGTTGGAATACTAATCCATCCAAGGTAAATCCAAGGATTTCATCCGGCTCCCATGAGAGTTTCCTGATATTTATCAAATACACCCTTCAGGTGGCAGGTACATCCACTGATGATTCCTGCACCAGATAGACTTTTCAAAACATGAATAATTGGCCAAGAAACAAAGCTTTTAGGGCAACTTTGAAATTGGATTAGTATCCTCTGAAACTTCTCCATTGCTCTGTCATTTTGTTCAGACCATTCTCTCATAGGTTCACACATCCTATCTCTACCTTGTGGGAAAGTAGCCAAAACAAAACAACAAAAAGAGTCTTCATGTGTTCTCAGTATGATTGTTTTATCAAATTCCATTAGAAAGAGATATTGAGTATATCAATACTGGGGCTTGAGCTAAGATGTGTTAATTTCAAATTAAAAACAACACGAGAACAAGTGGCCCATTGAATCAACCAGTAATTAATTAAAGCTTTCTTTTTTTAATTTGAATTTCTTTTTTTTTTTCTTCAAGTGGAGAAAGAGTTAAGCTAAGGTAAAGCCTGAGTGTAGGGTTAGTTCAGGGACTTAAAGCAGTAAGGTGGTTCAAAGTCCCAGTTGTTCATTAAACAGCTCTATCCTGGAAATTTGCTTGTACTCCACCCTAACTCAGGCCCAAAGTTTTAAGGTATAGAACTGCAACAGCGTCAGTTTTTTTCGAAACTGATTACTGGTTTACCTAATCATATGAACAGTTTCGTAATACGCGGGTAATTTAATTCAAGGATTGACTACGCACCCCGCAGAAGTAAAGTAACCCTCTCCTAGAAAGATACCAGCGCAGTAAAATTGAAATTATCGACGATTCTAAGAGATCTCCATTAATAAGTGTACAGGACCTGAGCATAAAAGTTCAGATTCAATACTTACGATGATGCTGCGCTATGATTGAAGAAGAACGCAAATGTTTCCAAAAATTCTTTCTCAGTCCGCAAAATGTCGTGAGGTTTGGCTTGCTCGGGCGGTTCAAGGTTCAACGCTTCAAACAACTCCAGAGAATCTACAAAATAATCCACGTTAGCTTCAAAACTAGTTGCTACTTTAGGTTTTCCGTGCACTGGATTTTCTCTTTCCAAAGACTTCAGACCCTCCAAGACTGCAACAATACGACCATCATGGCTTCTTACGTGTCTGTAGTAAAAATATGCTGCCACGACAGCTGCAATGGCGATTATGGTAGCCAAAATATTTGCCATTTGGAGAATTTTTCAGTCCTACTTGAAATAACAAATAAGTTATATTCACTCTGCTTCACAGCCTTTTTTCACGTGTTCAAAGGAATTGTTCTTTCCTCTCAGAGTACTTTGAAAGGACAAAGAATCGAACAGCACAACTCCCAAGGGTAAAACCGCCGACAAGCAAGAACCGTGGTCACAAGTTATAAAAAAGTACTCGTATTTTATTGCATATTATTGACTTGTTTTGATGGTTATGAAATATATTTGAAAATTTACTTTTTTATTATTGCTATTACTATTATTATCATCATTATTATAACTGTTATTATTACTGTTTTTATCTTATCATATTTGTTGATTTTCCTCACCTGTTACTGTTTTTATTTACTGGTCCTTAACTGGAGGCCTTTTACATTATGAAATCATATATTTCAATGTCTTACAACAACCAGAAGTCTTCACGTGCTTATTTTTTCCAAAAAAAAAAAGGGCTATTGATATTAAAAACTCAATGCAATTACAAAATTTAAATGGAATAAGAAATTAACTTCAGTAGCTATAGTAATTTAAAATCATGAAAAAAGGCCCTGTTATGGTCAGCTTGGGAGCTAGTTTAATAACAAGTCACTTCTAAAGAAATTCTTCAATTTTATTTTCACATGTTGTTATTTCTCAATGAAACACTATTGTATGTAGTTTGGTCTGATCATCTCTAGTGTAGAAAGTTACACGTCATTCAAATTTGTAATGCCAGACCACCCCCAGTAATTTGGTCTCCGCCACCTCCTGTCTGCAATACTTGGGTACAAACTAACACAGGAGCAACACAGATTTCATAATCATCCTCATTCCAACAGGATACAGGTGAACTGGTATCAAATTCAACTCTGGGGCTGCCTGGAACTATACTCTTAGAAAATGAGTCATCCATGAGTAACTTTGATTTCTGAGGATCAATATCTTCTGAGCCGCACACATGACGTGTTGCTGTCAAAGATGCTTTTGCCGAAGCTGCCTTGGTATTTTTCCACCTTGATCCCTTAGTGGTTAGAATTGCTTGAAATGCCAGTGTATGGATGTGTAATCTTGTCAACTGTCTCTTCCTACTTTTTCCATAGTTCTCATTTGAAATCTTGTACACTTCTCTCATGAGATCCAGTACTTTTGCAACTCTCGGTTTCTGACTTGAAACAACTGTTATATTTCCATAGAGCAGCTTGCTCCACAAGTTAGGAAGTTCCTGTTCATTCATACCCATACTACTCGTGTAAGGAATTACATATTGCAAAAGTTCATCAAAGAATGTTTCTTGATGGAAGGGGGCCATTTCAAAATGGATGGGAACAGAAATAGTGTCCAAAAACAACTGAAGCCTCTTTAAAATTTGACTGCTATCACCTTTATTAAACCCTGGAAAGTTATCCAGCATATGCAGACCACCAACAACTAGAACCGAAGGAGAGAATTCCTTGAATGATTTTTCAAATTCCTGTAATGAATGTAAGTAAGGATTATTCTCATCACTGTGTACAACTAAACGGTTAGCTCTTTGTGAAGTATATTTTCCCCAATGTCTGAGAGCAGGATATTCCAAAAGCATGTGAATGTCATCAACTGGAACAATATTCCCAACAGGAGACATGCCCTTAGGTAGCATTTTTATAAATTCGTTAGATGTATCTCCGGCCATTAGTACATTACATCCCTCAAGAGCAAGACGTTTCCCAATGTGAAGACCAGTACCTCCTAGTGCTTTATAGTTACTCTCCAGTTCATTAGCTTTTTCACACATTCTTTGGAAAAGTTCTTTGTTTTCCATATAACGTCTGAAAAAGAATTAAAAATAATTGTCTTTCATTCAGGAAAGGGAAGATGTACCACACAGCATCTTTTGAAAATATTCTCCTGATAATCTTTTCCAAAAAATTTTACACATACAGTTACAATAATTGTATATTAATTGTAACATTTCAGATAAGTTATTATTATGATACAAAAAGGAAAATTTATTTATAACAATATATAAATAAAATACATAAAATCAAATAAAGTATAGAAAGCTTTATGACAAGTGTGAAAAAAGGGAGAGGTTCATGTTTATTTCAAGGTTTGACAGACTGGAACGGTAATAAGGTCCGTCAAGGGTTTTCACTCATTTCTCCTAAACTGAACTGAAATTGTCGTTTGGTCCTTTTTTTTGCCTTGCTTTGAAAACAGAGCTTTCCATCCAAAACCAAGACATCAAGAGAAATAAGTGTCCGGGCGCGGTCTATGAGTAATGGTCCCAACTTGTGCCCTCTGATGAAATTAAATATTTACAATCTAACTGTATACAAAATGGAAAAATACGCCAGGTATTATGAACATCAACAGACTTACGATGACGCTGCGCTATGATTAAAGAAGAAGGCAAATGTTTCCATAAACTCTCCCTCGTTCCTCAAAATGTCGTGAGGTTTGGCTTTCTCTGGCGGTTCAAGATTCATCACTTCAAACAATTCCAAAGCATCCACGATATAATCTATGGTAGCTTCAAAGCCAACAGCAACTCTGGGCGTTCCTTCCAAAGGAGCTTCTTTTTCTGTAAGCTTAAGACCGTCCAAAACTGCTTCAATGCGTTTTTGTTCACTCGTATGTTTGTAGTACAAGTACGCTGCCACGCTGACCACAACGGTGATCAAGCCGCTCAAAATGTTTGCCATTTTCTGTTATGGACAAGTGTGATATTTATAATATTCACCTCAGGGTGATTATGTCTCTGAGAGAATTCACTATTCACCTGTGCAGATATTTAAACGTGTACCCTTGCTTTAACGGCTGGGTACGTAACCATGTTCACTTCACCCGCCATTGTTATTCTCTTGGTCGACAGAGTCTGAGCACGAGACTGGTTTCCCCATCGGGGTCCCGTTGGGTCCCACTAGGACACGTTGAAGTCTCAGGCCAGTTTGGTTGGAGCATGTACATTTGCAGGTAAGGAATCGGCGATTTTAAAAGTTATAGGAAGCGTTGCTGGCAAAATTACTTCAATGAAATTCTTTCGGGGGATAATGAAGTAAATTTTTTTTAAAAGACGTGTAGTACTAGTGTTTAAAATAAGCTCTTTACCTACAGTGATTGATGGATTGATTTAATAAATTATTGTTGCTTAAAATTGACGATATCTCATGAGGCCTTATCATTTTACACCATTGTCAGTAGAGTAGTGTAATGCTAGAAGGCACCGTGACTTTTCTCAGAAAAATATCTTACATCACCTCTTTTCACTTCGAGAGCTTCTTTGCGTCGTAATTGAATTTGTTTTTGGTGGAAGTTTTCATGACTTGCTTCTAGGCAGTCGCGTCCAAAATCGACAAAATGATTCAACTTATGTAAACATATCGTCAAGTTTAACTGAGATAGAATTTTATCAGATAACTTCGGACGTCGCTAATGGTACGAGGCACTTGGAAAATAAAAAGGTTTGTTCGTGCTCTTATGAGTAGGCAGTATTTCATTTTCTGAGAGAATTTTTGTAAGATTTTCTAATAAGCATCACTAAACGCGAGACTGACAGCTGCGGATGACGATAGATGGAGGAGAGGATGGAAAAGTGATGGAAAAGTTCGAAAGAAAGAAACAAAAGACAAACTGAGCGAGGGAGAGGCAAGCGAAATGAAAAAGTTCAAAGAGAACACTGAAAACGAAAAATATTAAAACAAGGCAAAGCTAAATGGGACAGGAAAAAAGAAAAAAATGATGCATAACTACTAGAAAAGCAAGAATAACAATAAAAAGCAAAAAAATAAGGTTTGGAAGAATCGATAAGAATTGAGGAGACAAAACTGCTGTTGAAGTGATAGAAAACATGACAATTTTATAAGTGTACACGACTAGAAAACTGGTTACAGCACAGTACTTTGTTATTAATGCTAAATTTCCTTCATGCGTGGTCAGAAATTCCATCATTGCGACTTGGCATGTAGGAATGTAAAAGTAGGAAAAGGTCTGGTCGCGAAGATGGCTGATTTTGGAATGGCGAGTGATGTATCTGCAGATGGCAGTACATCAAGACAACAGAGACAAATATCTCATTTATCAAATGATTCTTCTTAAATAGCTATTGCATACGAAGTACAAGAGTGAAATCTTATTATATGAAAAAGATTGTCCTCAAAAAGATGATCAAAACTCATAGATATCTGAAAAAACCCATATATTAGTAAGTGGTTTTAAAAGCATGACTTCTTTTCTGTAAATTTGAATAGGTGTAATTTTCCGCACAATAAACTGAATGAAAATTAATAATGGTCTGATTTTTTTGTCTGTCAGTTCAAAATAACTTTCTACCTCTGCCTCTCTTCGTAAATTTCTTTGATTTGCCCCACATAAGTATACTAAACAGGGCCTGGTTGTTCAAAGTCCTATTGGCGCTAACTGTTAGGGGCCCAGGGTTAAATTTAATCAAAGTTTCTTTATTTCTTTGTTCAAAAGCCTTTTTCGAATAATTTTCTCAATTCTTTTTTAGGTATCCAATCATCAAATTGTGGACAAAAGCAATGGTACTGAATTTTCTTTTAAAGCTTTTAAATCTAAAATCAGAAACAAATTAGCCTCGGGTTATCTTAACCTAGCTTTGAACAACCGGTCATGCTATCGTCTCCAAACGGATTGTATCTGACTCCCATCTTCAACGCTTCTTCCTCTTCCGAGACACGTCACTCCTCAATAATTCTGTGCTGTTGTTCCTCTAAGATTGAGAACTGATCTTGAAGTTGCCAGAGTTGTTCCTTATACAATATCGCAGTCTGAAAACGCATAGTTTATTCTTACTACGTCAGATAAACGTTTTACCACTTATTTTTCTCCACTCGCTGGTGATTGGTAATTACCCTTTTGAGCCAGTTCCTCAGGTGTATCGAGTAGGGGCGTGACCGAAAAAATAAACAGATTTAAATGTAGGCTTAATTAGGAAAGTTTTTCTCTCTAGGGAAGGGAGGCTGAGAAAAATTTGATGATTTTCCTGACTCCCCCATGCCTATCTTAATCAACGTCATGTTTATGAAATGTTTGTATAACATGTAAACGCCAACAATTGTGTTATACATCAGCTATTTTCTATTCCTGAAAGCCTCAAATAGGCCGCCAAGAAAATATCAACATGCTATTCATTAAA